TGAAATATTTAGATGGGGTCTCGTAGCGATGTGTAATATTTTATTTTGGTAAATAGTTTAAAAATATGATAAAAAATTTTACTAGATGACTAACGGATGGACGCTATCCGTATATTGTTATCGTGTCCATCTTAAAGTATTATTGCCTATGAATGTAAAATCTAAAAGAATCCGTGATTTACTTGGTTATAAGAGACAAATAGTGCTGTATTCATTAACTCCGTTGCCATTTTTCGAGAACTTCAGTGTAATGTTTATTTTTGACATTTCTAAAAAAACAACTTAATTTGTAATTTGTACCCACAGCGTAACGGATGAATTCAAACAAGAAACTTTCAAATCTACCCCAGAAAGGTAACCAATAGTGATCAATAGACTATTGTTTATCGCTATACTAATAAAAACGTTTATGATTCGATTTTACGGGGCCAATTTACAGAACTGGGATTACCTTTAAAATCTGGTCTGGTTAATACGCAACATTTCCCACGAGGAAAAAACATCACCTTAAGCGCAGTTCGGTTACCCAGGCGAATAGTGACCTTCGATTATCTTATTTCTCGCTGTATGCACCACTAATCCTGTTCTTTTTATTGGGTCTGTCGTTTGATTTGTTTGACAGACCCAATAAAAAAACTCGGGATTAGTGGTGCGTACAGCGAGAAATTTTATAGTCTAAGGTCACTGCTCGCCTGTGTAACCGAACTGCGCTTAAGGTGATTTTATTTCACGATCTGTAAACGACTCTCAGAACTGAAACGCAGTTATAAATTACGCGCGATTATAATTAGTATACGCCCCTGGCGCACAAAAGTATGTGCGTGCTACTCTACAAACATTCTAATATTTGTGATTAATGCGAAAATAAATAGTGAAGTGATAAGTAAACTTTTCATTTTTTTTTTTTGCAAAAGACAAGAATACGCCAGGATCATAATGATGTATACATTGATCTGCAAATTATTTAATTATTTTTTAAGATCAGGGTGTATACACGAAAAAACTGAGAATTACGAAAATTACAAATAGCTTTATGAAAAATTCAAACTGAGACAATTTTATGTAGTCCACATGCATTTCTTCCGGAGGCCATCACGAAATTTCAAGAGCAATATTTACCGAAGGAGTGTGGTGAGCTTCGGTAGAACGTGAGACTTTTACAGATGCTTTAGAGTTTTGCCCAGAACAAACTGGAGCACAAATTATCCAAAAATCCCAGTGTTGAAGCTATAGTAAAAAGCACAAATTTTGAATAGAGACATTTTCCATCAACGTAGAAAATTCATTTTCTTTATACAAGAATATTTTGCAGTTTAAGAAAAAAACTAACGTTCAACTATTTTGAAGTGTTAAATGTAATTCAATATAACAACTCCTTAATGCATTACAGTGAAAATTAATCCTAAATCATTTTTTAAATTTTTAATGCCTCTGCTTTGTCCTTTTCCACATTTTTTCCCGTATTAATGAAGATTCGACTAAAAAAATCCCTTTTAAATACTGTCTCGAAATACTGGTATTAACTACCACGTATGGAAAAAAAATCAAATCTGCTTTTGACATCAGACGACAGATCATTCCCTCGAAAGATCGGTACTTTTTTTCAGAAAAATAGAAGTAGACATGTAACCAATATCATACCATCAATATAATTGCTTCTAGTTTGCATCTTATTTCTAATGAAAGCAAACATTTAAAATCTATGAAAGTAAAATGCATAAAAGTATTTGAACCGTGTCGGTCTAAGTTCTAAATTGTTCGAAGTTTTACGAATGGTTCAATGTACTGCTATTGTTTGTATGACCGGTAAAACATTGAATATATTATTTTCACAAATTAGCACGACAATAATTTTCAAAATAAAATAAAACTTCGTAAGACAATAATGCCATCCCATCTTCCGGAACTTCTCTCTTACCTTCCATATTACCCCCCCCCCCCTATCCTTCCTCTTGGTCTGCCAGAAATCTTCAGACGCACCACGCTTTTTTAATTTTTTACATAACACTACTTTGTGCTTTGTGGTTACCAATGCTTCACGACGGGTAGCTATGTCGTATTCCCAGTAAAATGTACTAGCTACTTTTAGACATTTGTTACAATGTGTTCAACGTTTCAATTGTGTAAAAGTAGCGAGTTAACTTTCATTCATGGCAGAATTCGTGAGCAGGCAGATAAGATTTTTTGTGTGGCCGCGGGAATGGTAATGGATGAGAGGCTGCTGTATCATATGGAGTTTCCAGACCGAAAACAGACGAGTCATCCATTCTTTGGTGCAGTTTATCGTGACTTTGCTGAGACAGGAACTGTTGCATTGCAAACTATTGATCGATGAAAATCAAGAGTTGCCCACACGCCTGACCACGAAGAAAATATTCTGCGCGTCGAAGACTATCCTGGTACCAGCACAATACAAATGGCCGTGGCATTGCTACATCTCAAAGTACAGAATGGAGGATACTTCACAAGCAGCACCTTTATCCATACAATTTTACGTCCATATCCATACACCTGTATCCATAATCTTCGTGTGCAAGACCTTCCGCCTGGCAAGTCACCCATCCGGGAGAAGCTTTGCCAAAATTTTAAAATTGATTTCATTGAGTAACAATAGACTATCTATTGCACCACCAATTTTATACATGAAATTAAGATCAGACATTTCCCTGAGAGATTTTACGAGTTATTCGTAGTTATGGTAAACCTAACAGCAACGCAATGTTAAAATGCTCATGATTAATAAAAGGATCAAGAAGTCTAAAGTATCTAGTAACTATTTTAAAAAACTTTTGTTGGAAAGACATCAGTTCATATTATCTAGTTTGTTAGACTACAGTTTATAATTCAATTTGTAAACCTTTATAAAATTTTATGGATTATTGAATGAAGCTGAGTTGTATAGGTTTTTCTGGCTCAGTGAGGCCCAAACGACGCTGACCTCCCAATTTAGTAAGTTACAGGGCTCTTGGGGTGCTTCCTCGCTAAGAATTAGATTAGAAACTTTGATAACTGAGAACGTCAACGCGAATGAAAAGGTATTATGCATGCATGCATTTTGCGCGACAACCCGTGAACAGGCTCAGGCCTGCCGGCGACGTCCCTGTCTCGCGGCCATGGGTTAAGGGGGTACGTGTGGTTAGCGCGTAGACATCTCCAGGCCGTATTCCGGTCTTCTCAACTTGAGAAGTGAATTTTCTCGTCACACAGCAACATATACTGGGACAGTGCAAGGGAAACGCACACTATAGTATTTGCTCGATAGGTAATAGAACCCGGGGCAGCGTAGTGGAAAGCAAGCACTCTGACCAAGATCTACCCACGAGCCGAAAAAGTTATTCCTGTAATACTTCCGAAGGACCATTTGCCACTTTGTAACGCCTGCTGAGATTGAAAAAGGGCGAGGTTACGCAAAGCATATAGAAATTTAACTGAGGAGGTTGTCGTCTCGGTTACTAAAAGCGTCTCCACACATTCGCCATTCGTCGAGCAGCTCGTCCAATCCCGAACAGCTGATGTCTTTGGCGAGTGTTCGCTCCCTTCGATGTGCCCTAAAGACTGACACGCGGTGGGTAGGGTGAATGCCGAATGTTCGGCGAAACGCAAGCAACCCGTCCACACTACTACGAATTCGGCTAATGCCGCAGGCGTGGAGCCGCCTTAATACACAAAAGTCTGCCCAACGCATAATTTCCGAACATATGCCAAATTGCTTGCTGAACATTCCAAAAAAATGTTAAACATATTAAGTGCTTCTAAAATCACTTGAAAAGTATCCTTTATGTCTCTTGCAAGTTCATTTCGACAAATTTTACAATTCTATTCATTCAAACTTATATTTATCGCATGGATATTTTCAATTTTTCTCTGTACAATATGTTCATTAAGAAAATTTTAACTCTTCTCTTCAAGACTAAATTAACGAAATTGAGAGGTGCCATTTCTTTTAAATTAATCACCGAGCACAATCACACATTTAAATTACTGAATGTTTTTCGTTCGACCTTCCGGCTGCAGTGAAAAGACCTGAGTGTATTCGTCAACGGACAAAATGAAGAGGACCGAAACATTTTTTATTTCGTTATACTATATCGAGCTTTATTACTTGTGATTACAGTTTCCCCACGCACTTACTTACTTTGTACTTCACATTTCTGACAAGTAATGCGATAACGGCATCTGACAATGGATGCAGAACAGACGCCGCGTTCAATTCGGTGTCGCCATCGCAACTAATCTCTTTTTGCTTTGGCACGAAGCACTTCCGACAAACTAATGCTGCGTGCGCAGTACTACTGCGCATTGGATTTCTGCAGCCGGCGGCAGAATCTAATAATTGATCTTTATTAATACATTCTCGTCACGTTTTCTGGATTAATTCTACACGTTTTGTATATTAGTAATAAACTACCTTGATTTGAAGTGTATATATATCATGAGTATAGTTGGGTCGTGTAATTTTCTTGCCCTTAATCTGTCTGATGATCATTGTATTTAAACCTCTAGGAGGAAAAAAATTCCGGCTTTTTTGACCATTTAATTTTGCCAACAAGTAGTACCCAACCCCCAAGAGGAAGCAGACTTTTTGGAAGGATCAACAAAAATGAGCGAGTGCTTTTTGATAATTTGCAAGTACTAAACGTTTTGCTGTGTATAGAATGTAATCAAACTGTTAATTTGGTTAAAATTATCTTGTGCGACGAATAAATGACCGAATGTGTATTGATCGTGAATGTCAAAATCTAACTACCAAGAGGTGCTCTGTCGCTTACCTTTCAGAGCCGCCACTCCTCACTTTTAGATTTTAGTCTATTTGTCCTATCGACTTATCAGATGTAAGCTTCTCTACAGTAAAACCTATAAAAACCAACTTTCACTTTAAATAACTATCCTTTTGTAATTTCAATTTTGCTATTTTCCTTAATGCCAATTAGTCTAAATTCTTGAGACATTTTCGTCTTTTGGAAATAATATAGTAATTAGACCCAAATACGGAAGGGTCAAATATGATATGAGAACTCCAAGAAAGGAATAAAAATAGTAGATATCAAAGCTCTAGTTTAGATTGTGCAAATGCGAAGTCTGAACGTTTCATGTTTTAGGGGACCTACAACGCAATTCGCAATTATAGAATCTTAATGTATCGCGATGACATCGCGAACTTGCCTTACAATAAAGTTTCATCGTTCCGCGATTTCATTCGAAACGACCGCCATCTTTGCGAGTACAACAAACTATGATGGGTGACCATTCTAATTTTCAGAAGCAAGCGTAATAATGAATAGTAATTCAAGCTTTAGATTAGTAAGTAATGCAAGTCTAACGTGACGCATTTTCGAATAAAAATTTTGAAACTCTTAATAAACGTGTACAACAAATGACGTGATGTATAATGAAACCTCCTGACTAAATGTAATTATCTCGCTTTCGCGGTATTCCCAAAAAGTGTTAAAAATGTTGTCTTCAGAAAACTTCAATATTTCAAATCTACACATATCCGTGTTTATGCGAAGAGCTTCTCTTAAACACAGTTTTCTCAGTTTTGTATTTTACAACGTATAAAACTAGGCGATTCAGTGATGTAACATGGAAACTTCAAGGCCTTTGTCTAAGCAACTGCGAGTCGGAAGCGTCAGTATTTGTATATTCACATCAGACGCGTGCCTAATGTTGCAGTGAATCCGTATTGTAATATGTCGCGAATGAGGAGCGAGGTTAATTGCATATCTTATTATGGCAGACCACGTAGTGTACTGCAACCCTGTCCTTTTTTACAATGAAACGTCAACCACCTTATTTTATTCAGACCTTAAGCGCCATAACACAATACCATACAATATTCTTTCCATAAACTAAAATAAACTTCGAAGTGAATCAAGCGAAACCTTGATTAAACCATTTCTTGTGGCCATGGCCCTGGCATAATTCCAAATAAAGTTGCGGCGTGAATAACAAAATGAATCTAACGCTAATTAAATAATGATAATTCATAATTAGACTATATGAACAAAAATTTACTAACTCTAGGGGAAGTAATGATTGGAGTTCGAGAATTTCTACTCATTACTCTCCTATCAGAAGGATCCTATCCTATCTAGCTCATATCAGAAACCTTTCTTAAGCTTTGCAGTGACCAAGAAAAAAACGAATGCAATAATGTTTTAAAAGGGAAACCTTGTTAAAAACAGTTGAAGTAAAAACACCAGTACGAAGAAACACTTCAAAGGTCTTTAATTATGAGGAAAAAAAGGCAGGAGGTAGTCTTTTTAAAATGAATGTTTACGCTGTTTATTTATTTACTATAAATGTTTCTAAAACTGAGTATCTTTATATCCAGAGTGATTTACCTAAAAGTAAAATAAGCAGTTGCCCAGGGGGCTCCTTGCCTGAGGAATATGGGCGCTCCCCGAAGAAAACTATTTACTTTTCTAAAATTGAAAAAAAATTTTAAGACTGTTCCAGGAAATGTTAGGAGTTATTTGAGTGTAGACCAAGATGCAAACTCTTCGCTGTCAAGAATTTAAACCAATTTTCTATAATGTGTAATATGAAGTTTACATACGTTTCTGTAATAAGTAGACAAATTACAAAAGTATTTAAATTTTGGGTATATTTAACTTATAAATTAGTTTTTTTAGTAAAATGAAGGATTTGTTTTTTCTGGATTGGAGGGGGGTGGAGAGACGTGGCTACACAGTAACGAAGTTTTGCCCTGGTTATACCTACATAGCTCTAATCTTTACGACAAAAGGCACAAACATTTTTATCATTCACGGTTGAAAAGATGTCAATGTTATTACTAGAGATGCGATTTGTATGCATTTGAAGGAGTTAACTAAAGAGTTATGAGTTAACTAACTGTTTCAACAAATTTTACATGGTATGCGATATTTAAAATCAATTTTAGTAATTTATATTTCTCAAATTTTTGCATAAATCACCATAAATTGTTTTCGCGAAATTGGTCCTCATGTGCATGCACATTGTCATTCCTTGGCAGAAAATTTTCAGAAGTCAACCTTAACTTCTCGGTCGCCGACATTTCAGCACTCCACACTTTGAAAGGAAGGAATCTCCCGGGACGTGAGTAATTTGTATCGTGTGCAAAACTCAATCGAGTCGAACTGACCCCGCCCGTGGGTCGTGATGCTAACCCTTGAGACCTGCTAATAGCAGCAGCGCTTCCCATGATTCTCATTCCAAACGAGTTTTGAATTCTTCAGTTTTTCTGTTCTGAATTTATTGAAATTCAGAGGAAATCACATTTTGGTTGTAAACATTTTTATTTTTATGAAATGAACATTAAATTCATCACACGTTATTTTTGTCGAAACTGAGAAAAGTTTTCTTAAAAATACATCTTTCTTTGGTTTTGCTTATAAGCTAAAAATCCCTACGATTTATTTATTTAATTTTTGCCGTTTACTTATTTGCCCTTCTATACCTTTCCGCACATTTTCAGTTTTATACCGGATATCTAAATCTATATGAATATAATTCGATTTTTAACATAATTCGCACCCTATGTTGTAACATTATTCATCCTTTAAAATCTACCATTATGTTTGGGATCTATCTACATGTTTAACATTTTTAATTCGCGTCTATCAATGATAACGATGATATGCTTTTTTGAGTCACTTAAACAGTTATATCAACTTAATTAAACATTAAACGAAATCATCACATCTTTAATACTCCTACAAATAATCCTGTTATGTCGAGTTTTGGTCATTAAATTCACTTCTGGTGCAATTATGTTTAATTATTAGCATTAAGAAAAGTTCGAATCAATATTAAGTACCTTATCTGTTGCTGTTCCATGCAAACAAGCATGGCCTTTCTTCGACATTTTCCCCCAACAATAATAGCTTCTATACACAATTCTCGGCCCAACACAGGAACACTACACTATCATCAATCACTTTAAACCATTTATGGCCTAAGTCCAAGTATGATCACTAGTCCATTCGCATGATGACGTAGATGGACGTACATTTTATGGTTTGACAAACGGATTAAAGCTAACCAATCGCGTTGTTCTGTTATTCATACGAATGATGCCAGTTTGAAAATAGATATAGAATTTGTTCATTTCATTATTAAAGAAATATTCAGTTACATTTATTTATTTGTTTATTTATTTTTTTAAGTTGTTTATTATTCATTCGTTCGAGGCAAGTTGATATAGAATTATTTAATCGATTGATTAATTTGAAATCTTATAAACTGATGGTATATTTATCAAAAGAGTTAGATTTTAAACAAGAACCTCATCTTCAAGGATATATCAATAAAAATCATCAGTAAAAATATAGTGTTTTTAATTCTGGAATGGGATTGTTTTTACAATTACTAGAAGACGACTTGTCTACTCAATTCACAATTATATTGAATAAGACATTTTATTTTAAAAAAATTCTCATGCTGTAATTAAATATAATCATTGAGAAATAAAGAACATGAGACACTGTGAATTATATATTCAAATTATTCTTATTAATCTCTCATAATCTGCTTATAATCATTCTTGGTTTTGAACAGGTGAATAATATATCGGAAAATGACACTAGATTGGGTATGTATTAATAATATTAGGTGATCAAATAGCACATTTGTTCATTTGAATTTTTTAGAAAAGTTTAATAATAAGAATGATAATAACAAATTATTATCGTATAACACCTCGAAAATATTTCCGCCACAAAGGTTTCGCGCTCAACGGAACGATTGTGTGATACCAACATCATAAAAATTAATGTAAGGTTCGAACGCTATCTGGTGCTGAGAATTTCCAATAATATATTCTGCCAAGAAGTTGGGTATGCGGAATATGACAGTGCACTGTTCGTACAATTCTCGCAGCAATACGAACAGTGCAAATGAGCGTATGAGAAATACACTTGTTCTGAAAAATGGATTTTTAAGATCAGTGCGAATTGTGCTTGTGTGCAAGGAATTAATGCATGGCTTTTGACGATGTGGGGAAATTTAGTTTTCTTTCGTTCCATTTAATGAAATTTCAACTTGTAATTAGTATATGTAGAGGTAGGTTATGGATTCAATATAACGTGTAATGTGACACATTCAGATTATTTTGTCATTATGCAGTAGAGGAGAAATCGTAAATGATAAGTTATTGCAACTGAAAACTTACATTTTTGCAGAAAATAAACTAAATCTGTAATTCGTTCTGATTGAAGATGATAATTTGGAATGTTTAATATTGTGGGTGGTAACCACCAATATCAGGAGTATTCAGAAGTGTTATTTAAATTATGTTGAGATTTGGGGTAAAGTCATTTTTTTCAATCCAAAGTTGCTATTTCTTTCAATCAAGAGATGATTAATTCAAAATTACATTTTTTTTTGTATTAAGTTGTCATTCCATGTTGGATGTCAGAATTTTCTTTTGCAAATGGGTTGAGGTTTATTACTTGTTTTGTAATACGTTAGGAGGCCCAGTTAGATGATAGCCACTCTTCATTAAAAATAATTCAATCATTTTTGGCATTTATATCATTTATATTTACATGTAGATGTGATGTGATGATTTATTGATATAATAGCACTATTATAGACTTTCTCCCTTTAGTATTTGGTTTTGTTTATATTGGATCTATTAGAAATTCCTGCTGCTAATTTGATTACAAATATTATTATATCTGTTTTTACTAGATCTATCTTGAACATTTAATCAGATCCCAGGGGAAGATCAATTTCTCTAAGCATCTTGAAATCAATGATGGGTCTAGTTGTTAAAGTTAAACTTTGTAATTTGAAGTTGTTAAGAGGCTCTGTATGATGACCTTGCAAGACTGGAGGGCAATGGGCATAGTAAATGATAGGAGAAAGGAATTAAGGAAAAGGTGATTGGGTGAGGACGTTCTGTAAATACTAATTCGTTTTCTAGAAGATTCAGTCAAATCTTCAATTCAATTCAGTCAAACCTTAAGTGGAATGTCTATTGAAATAAATTGAACACTAAATTAAGTTGTTCCTGCTATGCTTTCAGAATTCTTTCAAATCCACGCAGCCTTCATACTGCTTGTTGTGTATATTTCACAAATGTTCATTCCCACCTGAGATTTGGCATAATATTCTCAGGAAATAATCTTGCAGCTCCCAGATGTTTAATTACAATAAAGAATTATACGAATTATAAGCAAATCCCACCCATGTGATTCTTGTAAGCCTCTTTTTATTAATCTAAGTATTTTACCATTACCTTGTCTCTTGATATATGAATCAGTGGTTTTTGTTAAATGACTTGCTTAAGGGCAGGAATATATTTCCAGCAAACACTGATGTCTAGAACTACAACAGTCGACGTAATAATCATATTCATCAGGTGACAGTATCAACAGCTCACTACAAAAAATTCACTTGCATACATTTACAGTATTTTACATCTTGCCAGATGACATTAAACAATTAAATTCGTGACAAAAGTTCCAAGTAAACAAGTAAAATCTTTTCTCCTGCACAACTATTTCTACACAATTAGAGACTATAACGAGCATCCAAAAGGAATGTAATATTAATTTTAACAATGACATTAAATGTATTATATACCATTTGTATTGTATAATAGTAAAGAACCTGTAGCAAGTATTGTACTTTAGCTTCTGAGTCAATGACCCCTTTCTTGATCAGGTTTTTGTTGAGTTTCCCTGATCTTTGAGCATATGTAGATGACTCTCGTTTTGCTTCTGGACATAAATGTAACTTTAAACTAACTTCTCCCCATAGCATCTTGCACATAGTTTTTAACTGTTTATGACATAAAAAAATTCCAATTTTTTATTGGGAGCTCAATAGACATGAAAGCTAGAAATCGATTTCCTACAATAATTTCAATTTTCGCTGTATGTTCAGCATGAATTTATGTGACAAAGTAACGGGGGGCACCTTTGATTATTGTTGCTTACATGCTGTAATTCTTAGAGGATTCAGTAGTTGAAGAGTGTGACAATCACCAGAAATTGTGAATGCTCCATTTAGTGATGTTATCCATGTTTAGTGTTGGGTATCAACATTATACACTTTATGCCTTTCTGTATTGATTATTATGCTGGAAGTATTGACCAATTTTATAATATTTGAGATCCTTTTTGAAAGTTGATTTTTTGGTTTATTTAAATCAGTATTATTTTGCATTGATATATGTTGGAGGATGGCAGACCTTGGGTTAATTTCTTACTATGATCTTCCTTCTTAGCTCTCTAGTCCTGGGGTGTCTCTTTGCTTCCTGAAGAATCGTTTTTCCGTTCATCAATCCTTCATCCACCATCTAGTCGCATCCAGTCTTTCTCTTGATTTCCATTGGAGATGAGTTTCTTTCAGGATTCTTTATGGTGTTGTTTCTTTTTTCAATTACTTGTATGTGACTCAACCATACAATTCTTCGAAAGTTGCACGTCATACTTCGTCATCTCTTCCTAAAATTTGTTTGATTTCAGTATTTATTCTTATTTTCCAATTTCCTCCATTTCTAACAGGTTTGTTTGCTGTGAGCATCTTTGTTTTAATTTTTCTCAGGGGTTCTTGGGCTCTTTTAATTAACCTTCTTGGTTATGCTTTATATCTACGCTGTTTATTTTGCTCTACTGACCGATTACTGATTTATATGTTTTAATTGTTGAGAAATTATAAGAATTTAGATAAGCAGAGATGATTTTATTTTCTAGTATTACTCCTTGAGAGATTTCCTGAAGGCTGTTATTGTTAGAATCACTTCTGGTTCACTTCAAACCAAATTATTTGTTATAATATGAAATGCAATATGCTCACTATTAATTGAAACATCAAACTAGCCAAAAGAAAAATTATTGAAATAAAAGTTAAAAATATTGATTTTGAATTTAAGTGTTGCTGAAACTGTATAAAGGAATTTTATTTAATTGTGTTACCAAAGCTGTGTTACCAAAGCTATGTTTACAATAAATCTGTCAAATTTGTATTATGCAATTTTATGCAATGCATGTACTCATTATATCTGTATCAGTAAGTTAAGTTTATATTTAATTATATAATATATTTCATGATTATCCATATTCTTAATGCTAACTCTCTTGACAGAAACTGTTTATCTAGACAACTAATGGTGCTTGGCTGTCCGGGATGAGCTGTGCTGTAGTCAGTCCAACTGACGTTTCGGGCATGACGTTGTAGCCTTCTTCAGAGCTATACTGCAGGGCAGCAGGATGCAGCGCAGCTTATCCTGGATAGCCAAGCATCAAATGACTCCAACCATAGAAGCCTACAAATCCATCCAAACATGTAGTACTCTTAAATTTCTAATAGTAAGCTTTAGTAATGTCTGATGGTTATTGCCAACTTGGTTGTTGTACATGTTAGTCTTACATGTTGTACTTAGAAATTCTCTAAAAATTTCTTGGACTTTTGTTGCCTATTAATTGTGGCCTTTTTTGAAAAGTAATTTAGATAGGTGGGTTTTCTTTGGATGAAGAAATACATTTCTCAAATCAGATTACTGGATTTTCTGTTTGCAGATTCAAAATGAAGAAATTTAAGGAAGTAGTGAAACAGACTTTGGGTTTGAGAAACTTTTGTCAGCATGCATCAAAACAAGATATTAACCTTATTAGAAATATAGGAATTCTTGCTCATATTGATGCAGGTAAGAAAATTATCTAAATTCTGACAGATTTACTGGAATTTGAGTATAGGCAAGAGAGGGGGCTAACACTTTTATGCCCTTCTCTTTCTTGGGCTGATCAGTCCTTTTTTGCCATTGCCTTGCACTGGATGTATGATGGTGAATTATGAATTGTATGCCAAATACTAATAAAGAAATCACAACATACATTTTGTCTTCTTTTTTTTCAACTTCTTACGTTTGGATTTCTTCAAAAGTCTTGGTAAAATACTGAGGCCACTAGTTTTTGTAATCTCTTATGTATTAGGCTTTGGTTTTATTCACAGAAAACTAGTTAAGATGTTTTTTCTTCAAAAAAATATTTGTATATGAAGGTGATTTAATCTTTTGAATGACCTTCCTATGTAAGACTAAAATATTTTTATCACATGAGGACTTCTCCCTTTATTGGATAATAAAGTTAAACAGTTAAATCTCTTAATATCTGTCATATCCCAGAGAAGCCTGAACAGTGGATGCTTGTTTTTTTGGCCACTGTAGTTGTCCTAGTAAATCTGAAACTGCGTTGTTCCTGCAGAAGCATAATTGATCAAAGAGCACATTAAAAAGTACATAATTCATTATGTCTTTTTTCTTGGTGTGGTATAAGCTTCCAGTAATAGATGGACATGAAAGAAGGGTGCAGTTTCTTCCTTCTACATAAAAAGATGGGTTTGAATTGTAGATCCTCACTTTATTATTAATGCAATTTCAATAAAAATTGGCTTGACGACCTTTTAACATCAAAACATTCATTTGAAGAAGTAAATGATATTGTAGTTTTTCAATCTGAACCACTTCAGTTAAGAGTTATCATGTAGTGGGTCTTCACAAGACCAAACAATATAATAGGTAGCTATGCCAAAAACAATTGCAGTTGTTTTTTTAATCACTTTCAATATTGAAAGTTCATACAGTTTTAAACTCTTGAGATGGGTAGCATTACAATGATAAGTAAATAATGTTCTGAATATTTTATTATTCAATAATATTTATCTACATTTATCATTTCAGACTAATATATATCTGGTATGACCATTGACTGTAGACCCTGAGAACAATGTATCTTTGTAGTTTCATTCTGGGGAGAGAGAGAGAGAGAAAGTTGTGGAAATCTTGAAGCCTCTATTCACAGCCTTTATTCGCAAGTGTATGCAACATTATGCTGTGAAATAGTTATAACAATATTATAACTATAAATTATTCCTTATAAAGCAACAATTGTTTCAAAACCAGAATTCATTGTAGCTCAAATTTGCTCAAAACTTTTTTTGTTAGGTATGTTAAAGTGACTGTATTTTTGATAATCCCATGATGTAGTTCAAACTGAAAAAATTAAGTTGAAAATATTTTTAAGGGGTTGCTGAAAAGAAATTTCTAGTAATATACCGTATAAAATAATATATTTTCTTTGTAATGGTGTGTTTAATTAATTTTATTTATTAATTATATTATGTATTCTGAACAAGAATTGAGGTAACTAATTAGAAATAACATTCATTCTTGGTTTTTAATTTACAAGTAGTAAGAAAAAAAATGCTTTAAATATCTCTCATTGTTCTACATGTTTATACTGTGCAGGTAAAACCACTACCACTGAGCGTATGCTGTTTTATGCAGGAAAAATACGTTCAATGGGAGAAGTACACCGTGGAAACACAGTGACAGATTTTCTTGAGCAGGAAAGAGAACGAGGTATGTTTTGGTTTGGTATTACTTATTGCTGATTGTAAAGATTATTGCTGTTGCTTTAAATATTGACATATTTAAATTACTCACATACAAAAGCACTGTGGAATACGGTAAAAAATACAGCTGATTTGTGGTATATGGTACAACTTACGGAATTGTTAAAACCGGCACTTCACACCGCTCCGGCAATAACTGCACGGTTTAAATTTTGGAGACTTTTTTGAAAAGTGCTTTCTTATAAAAGCGAATTGTTAATTATGCAGTGGATAGTCTCAAGGATGTGTATAGTGAAAGCGAGGGCCAAAGGCCTGAGCCTCGCCATGACTTGGATCCAGGTGAGCAAACTTGCCCTTGAAAGTAAATTGGCATTACAGTGTGGCAGGAACAAAGCATATGAAGGGCGAGACTTGAAAATTGCTTATCTGTAAGTGTTATTCATTTCTATCAAAGCGCGTAGTGTAATTTGAGGGAGGGCTTAAAGAGACTCCGCCGTCATGCATTGAGTGTTCAAGGTGTACCCTACTTTAACCAAAAAGACAATCACATCAACCAGAAACATTGTAAAGAATGTTGTTTCAAAAGATGAAAGAGAAGTGAACAATCAGCAACAATGGGTACTCTCTTCAACCTAATTTTTTTAAGAATTGCAGCTGATCTCATTAAGGTTTTTAAGCCACAAAATTCAACTTCAGATGTTTCCACTAAAATGTTTGACTCTATGTTTGTGTTCGAAATTTCTTCCAATGAAATCTGAGATTTGCCAAAATAATCGGTAAAATAAAAAATAAGTATTCGTCCTATATAGATAAATTTCCAAATTTTTTTGTTGAAGATTTGTAGACCTGCCATTATACAGCCATTAAATTACATACTTAATGCATCTGTATGCCCCGGATATTTCCAAAACAGCTAAGATTAATTTAATTTTAAAAAATGTTAATGTGTTAAATTCGAAATTAGTTAATTTCTCTTACATTGTTTTTTTAGAAAAATATTAGGGTCATTTTATGTGTGAAGAAAATATTTTTCAATAAATATGAAGCATTTTGAGATTACCAAAATATAAATTTACGGAAACCTCCATATTTTCTTCTTTTAAGATGTTGCTTCATCCTTGGATCAAAATTACGCACTTAATAGAATATTTTTAGATGTTTCAACAGGTTTGGACATCGTTAATCATAACATTTTTGCTTTCAAAATTACCTTCTTATGGAATTTGCGGCAATGCTTTAGATTGGTTATGTTCATACCTTAAACAATGATCTAAGAGAATAGATATACCTTGGTGAAATACTGTAGTGGGATGTTATTTACTCATCTTTCTGATTCATTGCCAGTTTAACATGGGGTCCTGCAGAGTTTAATTTTAGCCCCTATTCTCTTCCTTCTATATGTAAATGATATGCCCTTGACAATAAAGAATGGAAAATCAGTTCTCTGTGGATGATAGAAATATCCTTTGCAATAAAGAAATGATAAGTAGTACAATATCACATACTTCAAATTGGTTTCGTAATAATAAATCAATAGTATATAAAAGGAAAAGTTCATGAAACATTTACTTCACAAAAAAATTTTTTGTTCCAGTCTTAAAAATGAATTTTAATACACATTTTTTGATATGGACTCAAATAACTGATTGTCCCTACAATTCAGAAATCCCTACAATTCCTACAATTCAGAAAATGTTTACAGGAATTACAATTTCATCTGCTGCTGTGTCATTTTTCTGGAAAAAGTATCTATTCAATCTTATTGATACACCAGGTCACATTGACTTCACAATTGAAGTTGAGAGAAGTCTTAATGTACTAGATGGTGCTGTTGTTATTCTTGATGGCTGTGCAGGTGAGTGGAAAAAAAGTATATTGCATAGTGGAATAATCGTGGTATGAATATTCACTTATATTACATGCAATGAAAAATTCTTCCCACATGGCCATCGGACTCCTCATTCATAACAACAGATGTATGAGAATACCCACATTATTATCCATGCGTTACATCTTCACACAATTGCAGAAGCACATACCTTTTTTAGAGTGTATCTTCCCAGGTTGATCTTACGATCATACTGTGAATTTGAAACATCTTTTACTTTGGAGGATACTTTACATGAAACCCCTACAACATTTTCAAAATTTATTGAAAGGGCACTTATTACAAATGGGACATGTCCAATTTTCATTTAAACCTCTAAAATTTTGAAAATTGCTGCAGTTCAACATTTTTTGGACCTGTTCCGTCAACTACATTGTTGAATATAGATTTTTTGTTAATGGAATTTGTTCTTCAAAATTTGTTCTTTAAATATAATTTTAAAATTTGTCAAAAGTATTTTTTGTATGTTTTGATGGAAATAGTGACATTTACCAGGGCAATTTTTTCTTTTATTTCCCCCTCTCCCTAGAATGTAGCAAAGTGCACATGTTTGCATGTACAGTATTTTCAATATAACCTCTGAACTTTTGATAATTGCGAATTCGAATCTCCTGCCCTTGTTTTACTGAAGAGATTTTTTTTCAAGAGATGGCTGAAGAATTGGTAGGATGCAAAGTGCATCATTTATGATTATGTAATTTACTACTAAGAGTAGAACAATAAATTGTGTTGTGGAAGCACCACTAGTTTTGGTATCTCAAGAGGTAATTGTAGTGAACCCCTTGTTTGTTCTGTTACTCTATTTTTCTTATAGTCCTTTTTTTATGAATATTTCTTCATACTCATTAAGTAGTGTTGCAGAATTATTAAGAGTTTCTGCTGCGCTGGGCATATTTTGTATAATAACCTCCTCAATTCCATATCTGAAATACTGCTTCAGATTTTTATCTCAAAAATTTTATCTACTACCAACATTACACAGCTCAGATAGAATTACTCATATAACCAGTTTACAAGTAATGTACACTTTCAAACACTGGTAGAGAAACTTTTAAACACTACAAAATTAATATTGTGATAAGCTTATTATTTAATAAATTTATCAACATGTTGTTTTTAAGACTGTATATTTCATATCTTAATTGCTTGGCTTGTTTTTCGTCAGCTTACAAGTAATCAAATAAAAATTTTTCTTGATTTTTTTGTATAGGTGTTGAAGCACAAACTTTAACAGTATGGAGACAAGCAGATCATTACAAATTGCCTCGCCTAGTCTATGTAAATAAAATGGATCGTCCAAATTCTTCTGTAGATAGGTGCCTTGATACTTTACATGGAAAACTGAATGTTCATCCTCTCCTCCTCCATATTCCTATTTATGATGCAAGTCTTCAATTAAATGGTGTTGTTGACTTGATCAGCATGACACACAATTGTTGGCAGAAAGGTGATGGTCGTGAATTTGAATCTTCACCATTAAATCCAGAAGAACATGGTCAGGTTTGGGAGACTGCATTTAAACGGAGAAATGAACTTGTTGAAAAACTAGCTGACCTTGATGATGCTGTAGCTGAGGAAATCATTAAGTCAGAATCTCTGAATATTCCACCAAATGTGATAGTGCAATCTGTAAGGAAGATTACTGTAGATCAGGTCAGTTATTTGTTTATGAAAAGAATAATCAATACAAGTTTATTATGAAACAATAGTTTCTTATTCCCTTAAAATATACAATTTTTAGAAATGAACATTTTAAGATCAATTCATGAATGTTATGTTGATCTCAGATTTTTGTTATTGCAGAAAGGAATACCTGTTGTTTGTGGTAGTTCGTATAAAAATATCGGTGTTCAGCTTCTAATGAATGCCATTGTTCATTTTTTACCATGTCCGGTTGAAAGAAATAACCAAATATCTTACTGTTTCAAAGATGAGTTGTGTGCCAGAGCATTCAAAGTTGTTCATGACAGTCAAAAAAAGCCTGTCACTTTTTTTCGAATATATTCAGGATCACTTGTGAAAGTAAGTTGATTTATTATGTGGTCATTATTATTTTTTACGAAAGTTGTAATAAATTTATAAAAATGAAAATATGAGGTATACAGACGACTTTTTGAAAATATTTTAATTTGTAAAAAAAAAAAAATTAAATGTAATTAAAAAAAATCCCCGCAGAAACTTTTGCTTTCTAAATTAGGTTTTACGGTTCTGATAGCATTGTCATAAAAAATAACTGATAATGAATGTAATATTCCGATACCCAACGAATGTTTTCACATTTAATCAGTATTGGTATTAATTGGCGCTGTTCTTTAAATGAATGTTTCAGGGTCAGAAAATCTATAATATTCAACAAGAGAAGACAGAACAGTTGGCACGACTCATGATTCCATATGCAGATGAAACAATCGATGTACCTACTGTTTCCTGTGGCAATATAGCTGCTGTTGGTGGTCTGAAGGTTCGTTTTTGATTTGCCATTGAATTCTTGAGAAGCGAAAAGTGTTGTTTTGAAAATAGTAAAGAAATGAGCAGTGGTAGTGTTGTAGTGGTGGCTGCTGCTGAAAACCAGCTGTGTGCTGATAACTGTCTGTTTCAGCCGCTTCAGGCAAAAAATTAATTTCTCTCCTCTCCCTTCCCAATCATATATTAAGTTATTAAAGTATTTTGATAAAGTAATTTTAGAAAACATAAAAAATTACTCACTAAAATTGCATACAAATTGTTTAAATGATTGTTCTTGTTTAAAATACATCCATGTAAAATTGCTAACTACTACTAAAATTTTATAAAAATAATTTATATTTTATGTATGTGAGGTACTGCCATGGGCACTGCTTGGTGCTGTAATTTTTGCAGCATTCAAGAGCCTACATTTTAGAATATGTCTACATCACGAATTCTAATGCTCAGCATGACATCATGCTTTCGTGTTCAAATCAGATCATCCTAGGCCCCAAAGCACTCCAGATGTCGGCACATTCGTGCGAATGTTAAGGACAGTCAAAGCCGAACTCTACAATCATGTGCTTTACCAGTGAAGTAAACAAAACTGACCTTTTGAAACATAATTGTTTTATTCGTGAAAGAGAATAGGACACATTTGTTCTTAAACATACAAAGAATGTGTGTTGTATTTTTTTACCACCTAAAATGACTTGTGTGTATGTGTGGTTTTGAGAAATTATTATATGGCTTCTCTTATCCCAATTTTTCATGATGAATGATTGAAAAAGTTTTATTGACATTAAATTTCCTTTCATTCTGTTACAATTATTGGATTAAATTTTATGAATTTATATCTCCATTTCCATATGTCTGCTGTTTTTTAGTAACAAATGATTCTTGGAGATTACTTGCTTTTTTCCTTTCCTTCTTTCTTTCCTTTTTGCCTTTTTTCCCTTAACGTTTTTCCCCCTGCTTGACTTTCTTTTTCTTCTTGCCTTGTTTCCCCTTCTTGCCTTGTTTCCCCTTCTTGCCGTGTTTCCCCTTCTTGCCGTGTTTCCCCTTCTTGCCTTGTTTCTTTGTTGCCTCGTCTCTTCATGCCTTTTTCTTACTATTTAGTGAATCCAAATAGTTTTCTGCATATGAGATTCTACAAATTTTAATTCTGTAACAATAGTAATCCAACAATGGCTTCTCAATTTTGCATTGTGTGTACTGTTCAATTTTTGAAATGTAGAATGTCATCGGGGCTATTAAGAAAAGAATGTTCTAGTGACTTGTGCGAGTCTTTCTTTGAACCCATGTTACAAGTTTTACTTTCTCATATACTACAGAAGTAGTTTCGAAATTCTATTGAAATCCTGGGTTAGAAAAGAGCAAAGGTAGAAAAACTAGTATTGTGCTTCCCTGATATCAAATAGCAGATAAATCTTGTTCCCATTTGTAATTTACCACTTCTTACCTTTACCTCTTACCACCTAATCAGAATCCACATTTTGTGGGTCTTTGGTATTGAAAATTTGGTTGAAGGCAAAATATTTGCCCAAATGTTCAGGGTCAATGCTAGCACCTAAACCATTTCAATTATTTTCACCAAAATTGTTAAATTGTTATTGCCTGACTGATCTTGCTAACTCACTGCACTCTAAATTTAAAACTGTTTTATTTTCATTTTTTGGGGGCACTTTTTATGATGCCTTAATATTTTCAAAATTTTCTGAAAAATAGAGTCTTCCTCTTCTGTCTACATTTGCTTCCTCTTCTTTCTCTTTCTTTCTTTCTCTCTCTTTCTCTCTCTCTTTCTCTCTCTTTCTCTCTCTCTCTCTCTTTCTCTCTCTCTTTCTCTCTCTCTTTCTCTCTCTCTTTCTCTCTCTCTCTTTCTTTCTCTCTCTTTCTTTCTCTTTCTCTCTCTTCTCTCTTTTTTATCTCTCTTTCTTTCTCTCTTTCTTTCTCTTAGTTTAGGCGGAGGCTTAGTCTAAATGACGCCTCTGAGCTATATTCAAATCAGAGCGAATGCAAGCGTCGGCATGCCTGCGTTCTACGTGCGCGTACCCCAAAGACCCGCACGGTTGACGGTTACGGTTGACCGTTGGAGCCCGGGCGAGATAAACCAGGCTCAAAAACAAATCAATTTCCTGGAAAGCCTTCTCTTACGCACCTCCCCCTATGCCATCTGGATGAAAATTTGGAAAAATAAAGGACTTCATCTGCAGTGCCTAGGCTTTTGGTGAATAGGCAACTACAAACCTTACCAAACAATTATCGTCGAACTTGGCTCCCTGCAGAGAAGGTTTCGAGCTCATCTGGCTGCACTCCCATTATTCCCTTCTACGTACGAAGAATGGAGAAATCACTCTTTGATTTTTGGAGGAAGAAAGTTACAATACCGCTTTCTCTTATTGACAAGCATTCATCTGCAAAAGCTCTATAAAAAATACGTCTCCTGGAAGCAAACATCATCCCGATCCCTCAGGACGCTTATGACACCCGTGGGGCTTTAGGGGACGGTTCCCCTGCACCTCACAATTTTTTTATCCAATAGATCTTCTCATGTACGCATGAGAGGCAAATTTTTCAGCAGTCGTCCCCTAGAAAATGTTACTCAAGAATCAGACCTAAGCGTGACTGCTTCCGCCAATAATTCCATCGCGCTCCATGCTATTTTGTGTTCGTCCAGAAGCTAAAATTCATCGAAAGGCAGCTTTAACTACTCTTAATAGATTCTATCAATGGAGTAATATACGGATGGATGCAAGAACGGATATTAATTACTCTATGACAAAAACATGATTTATGCCCTTGTGTAGAATCTGCAATCTCCATTATAACCCGGTACCCATTGAGCCTCTGGCGCCTATCGCACCAGTGCCTCTTGGCAAACGCTGGCAAACAGTCTTTAAATAGAAAATGCGATATACTCCTTACATACGTTTTTTTATCTTGGCCCTTAGCTATAGAGTGATTTTTCGAAAGTTATTTTTTCTGCTCCTACTGCCCCCTACACCTGTTTCAATCGACAAAAAAAAGTTCTGAACAAAATTTCAGCCTAATCGGACAATTTCTTTGCGACCCCCAGACGCCTAAAAGTTTGACCGTAACAAATAATTACATTGAAATGCTGTAAACTATTATTCACCGAGATTATTTTCTTTTTTCTTCAATTTTTGTGACTACTTCAGGCAACCCAAGCGATTGTTTACAAACATTCTAAAAATAATACCCAAGAGTTCAGTGATTTCTTAAATAAACATGAACAATTAGCGTAATATCAGCCCTTTAATAGTCCACGCATAAAAGACACTTTGAATGAACGAACATAGAAAAAATATTTTTTCTGAATATTTTTTACGATCTCCGACAACAATTTTTAAAACAAACTTTTGCCAGTTTAATCCTTTGTGAGGATGTTATTATAATCCTGAATGAATTAAACACACCTTTCCTCAACGTCATACACAAATGTATTTTCGAACGTTTGAATTCTTGAATTTGAATTTTCAAATTCGTATCTGAATTTTAACGTTTGCAAACAGGATGATCCAGACATTCGCGTTAAAGAACCTTCAATACCGAAATATTGAAGGTTCTTACCCGCGAAAATCTGCACTGATAGAATATCAAATGGAAAAAACATTTAGTACCAGGAGTTACTCTATGTTTATAGAGAAAGAAAGAAAGATTATTTTCATGCAGGATGTATCTCTTCGGTTGACTTTTTTCTTCATTTTTGCTTCCATAATAACATGAGCCATTTTTGCCTTGCTCTGCGTTGGGACTGTGTCAAACAAGGCTGGAGCCAATGAGAACTACGTTACGGAGGTGGTTTGAAATTATTTGGCTAAAGTTTTTAATTTCTGGATCGATATCCTAATACATCAGTTAACTCATGAATAGGAAATCATGATATGGTTTCCTCATTGTTTCTGCCAACAGAAGCCAGGCCCTTACTCTCGAAGAAGAAAAATACGTAATATTCTTGTCAAAGTGTTTTTCCTACAAGGCAACTGAAATCACCGAAACTAATTCCGTTCTTTGGAATACCGCTAAGAAAGATTATCGCTAACGCCAGGAATTATCAGTTGTTTCACGGTTAGTTCTGTGCCCAAAGTTACTGTTAAAGAAATCCAAGAATTGGAGAACGAACATCATCAGGAATTTCATTGCTTCCAGTTATGTAAAATTTCTAGTCGAGTTTTGACAAGGTTTGTGTAAATATTTTTAAAGAGCTCCATATCTTGACCAGAATTTGCACCCATCAAGGATTTAAAACACCTCCGTAATATTAACTCAGTAATGTAATGATGGCAAGGTAGGTTCAACAAGTTATGGTCGATGGGGGTCGCCTTAGAGTTGTCCGATTGACCTCAAATTTTGCTTGGATCGTTCTTTTAATTGATTGGAACGCCATAGGGTGGGAGCTGAACTTTTGAAAAGTTGAAAAAAGGGCCACCTTAATGTTTTTAGACCCATCGAATCATCCAAATCATTCCCTACTTAACCACCTATCTTTTATCACTTTCTAAACCCCCAGGTATCCGTTTCCACATGTTGGAGAACCTAAATGTTCACCTCCCTTCCTAAGCTTCTGCCATCCCCATTCCTCCCTATTCCCCATTGAGTACCATAAACTATGCAATCTCTCGAAACGCACTACTCCCTTAGTACATCTAAAAACTTCCATAAGTTGAGAACAGCCTATCCTGACTGCACTTTCCTTTATCCTTGGCGGCTCGGTCATCAGTGGGCTTGTGGGTGGTTTTGTAGAGCTACTCGGTAATTTCGAATTTCCCATTTTGTAGCGTGTTCTGTGCTTAGACATTCGCTGTTCTTCAGGCCTTGAAATACATTGAATCAGGTTTATCACGACGACTATTGTATGCAATAATGTCCATAATGCACTTCTGTTACTTAACCCTTTTTCTTGGTCCACTTGTCAACGCAAGATATGATTCATTGTATATTATGTCGCCACTATGACCCAGTATTTTGTTGGGACCCAGGTCATGTATGAATCGCAAATAATGAGTGTTACGTGACCAGGCTGCGAAAACAGCCACTGGAAAGTCTTACATTGTCTCTCTTCTCTCAGGATATCGGAAGGCATTTCAGAAATGCTCCATACTCAGTGCATGTCAAAGAGAGTGGCACAATACCACGTTTAAATAAAGGGCGATTAAGGATTCTTTAAATCACTGCATCTATCCCGCTAGCTAAATCACTGTTCCTCATCCCGCACTGCAAGACACGTAAAGTAATTTTAACGCGTCTCTGCGTCGGCCATTGCAACTCTTATCGTTTCGTTTCCTCTTGCGAGGTGAACGTCCTTCTTTAGTCCTGTGGAGTTTGTTGGCAGCCGACGTAAACATCGTCTGGGCAACTCTGTGGGAGGAACTCTGCCGCGCAAACTAGTCCGCGCCCTCGGAACGTTTTTTCCAAAGTAAAATATGTAATATGAGTTGAGAGATAATGCAATAGTGCTTTTTTGGTATTCTCTCGCTCTTAAGTTAACAAGTATTTCTTTATTTAATTTTCTTGTTCTTTTGTTTTATCAATCTTATGCGACGACGAAGCCTTCATTTTAAACTATATATTGTATTTTAATCAGCGAGCTTGTTGAATTTGCAACATTCCTTGTCTTAAATCTTTAGAAGTTTTAAAATTAATTTGACATGGACGCCTGTGACCATAGCAGTTGAAGAGGCCTCTAAACATCAATCAATCGTTAGAGGTCCTTGCAACTTCTGAAATTTTGTGGGAAATTCGTGAATCTGCTACATAGTTGCCTGCGCAACTTAAGTTTTGGTGTTTTGTTTGTTATTTTTGGAGATTAAGCTTCTCATTAAATTATTGCCCCTCGGGTGACTCAAGGACAGGGAGCTAGCTTTCTATGAGGCGGTCTCGGGTTCGATTCCCAGCCGGGGTAGAAAAGCTGTAGCTTTCTAATATAAATTATGTGTGTGTAGCTGTGTGAAGAAAGTGAAACCTCAGCCAAGCCAAGGAATCTAGGTATGGAGATGGGAAGACGTCATTTTCGACACATGTGTCCTTTATCCCCAGGTCTGGAAACGCCGCTAGCTGGCAAAATAATATATTGACAAGTACATATCATACATTCATTCCTATTCATAAAATAAATTATTTTAGGAAACTAAGACTGGCGACTTTGTGACATCTAATGCTAGTACAGCATCTACTGCCAAGAAGAGATTGTTCAAATACCAAGGGGAATCACCCCAAGAAGGCTTTGGTGAGGCTGCTAAAGTTCCTGTTCCAGTGTTTTATTGTTCTATTGAAGCACCATCTCAGGTATGTTTTATTTGCAGAAACATTTGTTAATACTAAACTTCGGTTGGATATTCGAACAAATTAAGCTTTTGAATGGTATACAGTTGTGATTGAAACTTCACTTTCATGTGACTTTGTGTAATGTCTCTGAATTACGTGCACTAGAATGGTGTATATATGAAGTATATCTGCATTGTTGTAGCCAACTGCTAGTCATAACCGTGTTTGACTAGCAGTTGGCTGAAAATTAGTTAATATATTCCAGGTGCAGATTTCATTCGAATTTCTAACATATTGCTTTGAGAATTTGTTTCAGTACTGAATTTTGATCTACATTGGGTGGTACACATTTTACTTATAAGTTATCTTGTCACAGTTCATTCCATTCTTTTTCTTTTATTTTCATTTCAGAGAGTTGTAAATTGTGTTTTTTTAAATGAGCAATTTTTGTTTTATTTATCTTATATTTCCGAACAATTGATGTTTATGGTGTGGTATAAGTTAAAACACGTTTAAATTTGAATTTTGTAATATAAAGCACGCCACATTCGCGAGTTTAATATCTATATATTAGCCATTCTTTGTTAATGTAAGTTTTATGTTTGAGTTTTTACACGATACATCGTGCTGGAAATGAATTGTAAATGACATTAGTTTCCTGTGACTTATTGATAATGAACCTACAAATACAAAAATGTTGAGATTTTAACGGAAGTACACTTTTGAGGGGCTCTGATACTGAATGTTGTCGCCGTCATCCTTCTCCCAGGAATGTCTGTGAACACCACCACTGCCCCAACCATATTCAGGATTTTCCCTCAAAAATAGACATTTCCTGATAAGTGAAACAAATTTGAACTTTGTGTCTTGCCGTGAGATGAAAGTATGTGTTCTGTACTAAGTCACATACGTTGATTGCGAAAATGAAATCAGAAATTTTCCATCACGTACCAATTTTTCTGTAAAAGATACGCCATATATGCCGCTCGTGAAACTTGGAAACGACTCTGTAACAATACAGGAGGAATACGTAGTTGATTATTAAACAGTTCATGTAAAAAAAAAAGTATTACAAAAATTGTTTGCATTACAAAACATAAAATTGAAAACGGTACAAGAAAGCTGAATAGAGCTTGATATGTACTTACACTTTTCCTGGGAACGTTCCGTTCATAGTGGATGGTGAAACTTCTTCTAAGAGTGTCCAGCTGTAATCCGCCAAAAAGGTTTGGTGACCATCTTCCCCATATATCAATTTTCGATGGCAGCGAAATCTGTCTGAAATCGCTCACAATGTTCGTCACTCTCGGCCCCAAGATTAGGTGGGAAGAAATCCAAATGGGAATGAAGGAAATGTAATTACAGATACATATTGCACTCCATAGCTTTGTAACAGTCCAGCACGTGTTCCGTTAATTCCCTGCAATTCTCAGTCATAACGTTTACCAAGAAATTGTCGCATACATCTTTCAGTGCAAGCCAAGCTGCCTTCTCAGTATCTGTCAGCAACTGTTTAAAGCTAATGTCTTTCATCAAGTCGTGGATCTCAGGCCCAATGCAAATTCCTTCTTAATTTTTTGCAGTACTGACCGCAGGAAATTTTGACAGTAAAAATTGAAAGCCTTGGTCATCTTTGTTCATTGCTTCCATAAAATTTATCATAAAGTCCAATATCAGATGGAGTGGTTGTAACAGCACACTGTCTTTGTCAGCAATGGATTTGTGCGACACATTGTTTCCACCACGATTGAACATTTATCTCAAAGGTTACTCTTTGATTACATAAGTCTTCCCGTGTCCTACTATTCCAGTGACAAAAGAAACATCAATATGTTGTGTAACCAGTCTGCCTCCTTATAAGTACTCCCAGAACTTTGAGATCACAGATATTCCATTTGTGATTTGAGTAGCTAGTTGTGAATAGGAGCAGCCTCATGTTTCCGTTATGTAAGAGAACAGCTTGGAAACTACTCTTTGACGATTCTATAAGTAGGCGCCATTCTTCCGGGTTGTGAATCATTCCAAACTTTGTAAGCAGCCCATTTATGTCATTGCAATATACCAAATTCTGTTATTGAGAAAAAAGTGGAAAGATCAAGCAGTCGTTGACGGAACGTAATACAAGTGTTTGGTTGGAACAGGTTCTTTTCTTAAAGGTGAGACCCACGCAATTTTGCTTGCCTCATTGCAATATATAGATCTCGTACAAGATCGTTCAATTCTGCCTATAACAATGGATGTGGTTGTAGCCGTACTGCAGATGGCGTCTAATCAAGATCTTCATTATCTATGTGATCTGTTAGTTTGTCATTACCATCGTCTGTTACATCTTTCAGCATCCTTTCGTGGTGATGGTGGTGGTTTTGGAACTGATAGAATAAGAAGGCGGATCTGTAGACATTGGAGATTCTAAATTTGGATACGAAATTGTGTGTTTTTATTTACTTGAGATTCATATTACTTTCGTCAAACGAACATAGCAATCTGTTATGTCTGTAGGTTCCTTCCTTAACTGTGGTACGGCAAATGGCTTAGATGAGTGTGTTCTGTGCAACCCGCCTCTTAAATAGCGGGAGCAACATGAGCTGCAGTTCTGTACTGCTGTGCCCAATACTTACCCTCATCTATCTTTGAATCAAAATACAACTCTACCTTTTGACAATCAGAAATATGGAATATATTTGAGACGTAGTTGTAAACTCGCCACACCCATAACATTTCTGTTATGATTTCTGTTCTGATAACATTTCTGTTCTGATTTGGTGAATTAACACACTTCGTAGATATCATTAAGAATAAGAAAAACGCGAACACGCACAAACAAAATTCTTCAAATTAGCAGATTTAATAACTTCAAGAATAGATACCGTGTTATCTCACTGTCGATTGACTGATGCAACTGCAACCTTTCAACAACCTACCCCAAGTGTGTGTGTGTCTCTCTCTCTCTCTCTCTCTCTCTCTCTCTCTCTCTCTCTCTCTCTCTCTCTGTGTGTGTGTGTGTGTGTGTGTGTGTGTGTGTGTGTGTCTCTCCTCCCTGTCCTATCTCTCCTCTCTCCTCCCTCTCCTATCTCTCCTCTCCTATCTCTCCTCTCCTCTCTCTACTCCCTTGCCAGACAATAATATTCCCTAAACAACAGAATGTGATTAGCGCCGCGACAACTAATAACGCAGCTGAGCGCAGATAAAATTGAGTTTCCAAAAGAATGTATAGGTGTTAGAACAGTGGTTTTGATTAATCATCTGGGCACTGAACTACAGAACAATCACATTTTTTTCTGTGGCAAATTTCATTGAGAGTTCCAACGCGCTGTGTAATCTGACCGTATTCAAGGGCCTGCGATCAAACTATCGCCGATTTTCGTTACCAATGTACCAACCACCTTCGTTTGTACTTTCTTAATAATTCAGCTCTGTACAGTAAAACCGGTGTCGGTATTAAATTAAATTACCCTCCTTTACTTCATTGGGCCACAGCATGAGCGAGAAGTCGCTGAATCCTTTTTACTTTCTCGGTATACTAGGAAGGTAGTAAAAAAGTAATATAATGCTGCAGCAGAAAGTTTTTTTCGTCAAAATCGTAATAAAAAACGGTAATTCATGCAACTCTCTTTAGTAAACGACTTCCTTTAAACTCATTGTTATCAGAATCGACATTTCGTCGGTTCCCGATATCGAAAAATTGCTTTAAGGCAAAACGTGCGTCAGTCCAAGGCCCTGCAAAATTGTACTATATATTAAAATTCTCAAAGTTTTCGCAACAAATTGCTCCAATTTTTACTTTTCCGTATACGTACGTATATAGGGAAGGTTACGTATTGCTGTGGAAAATAAATTTCGAGATTTCTACGGAAATAAAAAAAATGGTTTTAGGGTTTCCTGATTTCGAAAAGTGGTTGTTTTTTTTCAAAACGTCCTTCTGCCCGTCTGTGAACACCAGTAGCTGTGATTTTGATACACTTGCTTCAAAAAATTACTTTCTCCAAACGACTCCAAATTTTTTCTTTAAATTTTCCCCTCATATGTAGCAAAGAACTACAAAATTGAAGATGAAGTTGTTTGTTTTAAACAAGATGTTCTAAAAAAATCAGCTCGTTAAGCAAGGTCATGTATAATTTTTTGAAAACTGGTAGTTTTGGGGTAATTGTTGCTTGAAATTTATACAATTTGTAAAAAAATATAAAAAGCTACTCCAAGGGAAAAATGGTGCTAATCCCATTTTCGGCAAACTCTCCGTATTTTTCAAAATTGCAAAACGTTAACATTTCAAAACTACAAAATTGAAGATAGTGTTTGCCTTAAAATATGTTCTAAAAATAGTTTTTTTAAAAGAAAGTCATTCACTACTTGTTTTAAACTACTTGATTTTCTCCAAAACAGCTTTAATTTTTTCTTTAAATTTTTTACGTCTATAAAACAAGGAACACTTAAAAGAATGGTGCCTCATTTTCTCTGAATGATTTCTGAATTTTCGAAAATTGCATGTGGGAAATAATGGGTAGAAACAATTAGATTTTAAGCGTTCGCCCCGAGTAGAGCGTCAGTCCGTTTACATGCATGTGGAGGTAAGGCGCACTGGCAGTTAACTCAGAGGAGCTGTGGTCGAGTTTCGCCCCGGGGAAAATGTTTGCTGATTCAAAACACTTTTGCAGGTTCATGTAATAGTATAATATTGCGGAGCTGTTACAATTAATGCGAGAAAGTATGTGCCCTTGGAGCACACCAGTTTCTTTAATTCTTTCTCGAATACAGCAAAGTGGTAGTAAAAAGTTAATAAAGTAAAGTTATGTTAGTAAAAAAGGTGCAGATCCGAATTTCCATGAACTAGTATTTTTTGTTTTTTTATGACGGCACCAATTTTTTATATATTTTTTTTCTTCGGAGAGGGCAGAGAACGCTTAAAAATGGTATAGATCTCGTTTTCTCTCTGTGAATTATCGAAAAATTGCAGAGGTTAAAAATGTGAGGTCGTATATGCTGTTGTAACTATTAGTTTCGGAAATACAGGTTGTTTTAAGTTATGTTAACATGAGTGTAACCCCTGTGTGTAGAATCCGCGCAAAATATTTGTTGAAAAACAGTTGGTACTTTAATTTCTAAGCTTTAGTGACAACGTTAAGTATAGATCTGTGATGAAGGATAGGAAACAAAATTGTATTGTAAAAATGTATGATAATACGTATTTATATGCATTAGAAGTAGACGCCTTCGAGCACTAATCTTTTTATTGTACATTCTCATACTATTGCAAATAAGCATACGAAAAAACTTTTTCTAGGCCTATCAGTCACAATTAGAATCAGCTTTAGAGCAACTGCAAAGAGAAGATCCCAGTTTAGTTGTTATTCAAGACGAGATGACTGGGCAAACAGTTTTAGGAGGTAAATTTATGATTAATGTTGAATAGCAATAATGATTTAAAAGTTGGTTTTTAAAGACATTATTGTTTCTCTTGCTTCTCTTTAGGTATGGGAGAACTTCATTTAGATATCATTAAAACTCGCATTATTTCTGAGTATAAAATTAATGTTGAGCTAGGCTCTCTTCAAATTGCTTATCAAGAAGTCCCTCAGCAATTGAATATTAAGGAAACGCATGCGTTGAGCCATAAAATTGGTAAGTATGTTTTTTCCCTCTAAATACTAGTGTAGTGAGATAATCCTAGTATACTATAACAAAATTGTTATTACATAGCATCGTAGGCTTTCACGGCCGGAGTCAATAGAAGATACATTTTACGTGCTGGTAAGCCGTGGTCCAGTTGGCATTGAAGGACCCTTTAATCAACTGGACCACGGCCTACCAGCCCGAAAAAAAATATCTAAAGTTGTTATTATTGTCAATTCAAAGTAAAATGAAATAATTGTCAGAATCAGGATAATTTTGTCCTATGAGATTAGGTAAAATGTTGTCTAGACACAAATGTTTAGCGTCGCAACATGAATGACAAGCATGAGCCGTAGTTTTGCCCAGCTTCTCTAAAATAAGGGAAGTGGCATGTGCATGATGGCACTAAAACGCAGAACACAGTGAAACACTTGAAGGAAACTTGAACATACGTTTTTAATTCTAAACATAAGTAAAATATGCGGTGGTTACAGACATGACGCGAGAGCTACCTCCAAACTAATCTTACAACTGAGGTGGTAGCACCTGTGTGTTAGGCGCCGACCCCTTCAGGTTCTGTTTTCTGCTGGAAAGTGCGGTAGCCTCCGGCTTTCTCCCGTTCGTTAGTCAAATTTTCGTGTCAGAATAAAATAAATACGATTTGTTTTTACTGTTACATAATTTATTTTCACTTTTATAAATCTGGTGATGCAAACACCTAATAGATTAGGGGGATCAATCTCGCTTTACAGAAGGGAGCGGAGGGAAGGTGTCCAAATTTCACTATGTGCGTTACGTTGTTTATGGACTATATGCCCTTAGAACGTGTCAACTGATGTCTTTGTACATTTACAGTTAATATTACTAGTGTACCCGGCAATGCGTCGCTTTTGCAATGTATTGCACTTCACATGCCACTGGACACGTTATTGTTAATCACGTTTTACTCTACGCCATGCAAACATTTTAATAAATGAAAGACTTTCTTGCGAGCATGGGGTTGTTCTATGCCCTGATTTGAACAGGGTTGTCAAGTGTCCTATTCTTAAAATGTTATCACTCAAGTTTGGATATGCATTCGCTATGACACTATACCGGGTGAGATGGTTCAGGGATGATGGTGCCAATTGATGTCTCTGCAGTCCGTCTGACCGGGAGATCCAAGGTTCGAGTCGATCGACGGTGGCAGGATTTTCGACACTGGCTTGTCAGCTAGGTCAAATTCAGTCGCTGTCTGGAGAATTTAGAATTCTTTTAGAATTCTACCGGATGGCTGCTCTGATTGGTAGTTGTCCGTGGTTTCTTCGATCAACACCAGGCGAATGCCGGAGCAGTACCCAAACAAACGGGTCACGGACCGCGCGCGATCTTTCCTACCTCTTGTTCTATCTTCACCACTCACACACACATCCACACACACTAATATGTACTACACTACCACACATGTCGGGAACTTAGAGCTTGTCCTGGCTTGGCGGTACCCGGGTGGTGGGAGATACCTGGTTGGGGAAACCCCGCTAGCCGACGATAGGTTGGCACCGGATCTCCTCGTACCACCTCCACCTTTAATTGTCTCGCCCGGAATCACTAACAATCCATCAATCAGCTATGACACTGTCTTGGTGAAATTGGATTTACTTGTCTGAGATAACGTTCAAGTAATAATACCGGCCAATATTTCACAATCGCAGTGGCAGAATATGCAGAAAAGACGTGCTTAATACTTGAGGGTGCGGAGGGTTGCGTAGAGCTTCTGTTCAAGGGCGCTTGAGTCAGCATAATCGCATAAAATTATCAACGCGAGTGTATGTGCACATTCCCGTTGTATTATGCCTATATTCTTCGCGCAAGTGCAAGCAATAAGTTGACAAAATTCGCGATTGGATGAACGGTACGGCAGCGCATAAAATACAAACATTGATTTTTACTTTTTCGCGCTTAAGAAGGAACATCTTAAGGAGATAAAGTTGTGCTGAATGCTGTGCGAAAAAAAGGCGAATTTTCGGCAGAAGAACTTTCGGCGCACTGCACACTGCGTACTAAATGTATTTGGGCACAAAACGGTCACAAGTTGAAATGATGTACCCGCGTAAATGTTTCCCACATGGTTCGATTGTAAGCACGTGCGTAACAAATAATTACGTAGGATAGAATGACCTGTTTAAGTCATTGCAGTCAATTGAGACATTTAAAACAATAATGCACAGTTTGAAATAATATAGGTGTTATAAAACATTGCATGTAAAATGCAGTTGTTCAGAAATAGCACGTGGCTAAACTTGGACGACGCCATATTGAAATAAGTTTGTCAACACTCACACATGGCAAACTGTACATGTGATGTAAGTCGTAAAGAGACGAAAGCACGTTTAACTGAATAATATGAAATGCACAAGTATTTGAAGTAGTTAACGTTTACTGGCGTAACTTCAAGAAGCCATGAATGCGAACTGGTTACACCGTTCGGAGGGAGACCCCAGAAAGTGCGTCAAGCTGGAACAGCCATGTCAGCTCACCAGAATGTCACATGATTTATTGCTAATTAATTGCCAATTAAATAACAATTTGGAATTCATTGCCAATCGCCACGTATCTACGTGGCGAAAACAAGAGTGAGCTGGGCGCCAGCCCACATACAAATGAAATTCAGGTCTTAGTTCGAGGGAAATCTGATGATTTAGTCCTAATTAATTGCTAATTAACTGCCACAATTTGGAATTATTTGCCACGTATCTTCTCCTGAGTTTCGTTACGTTTTCTAACAGCCAGGGGCTCTGCGCCATTAGATCCCGGGGTTTCCAGACTGTCACCTATCAAAGAGCCGGTGTCTCGTGTTACTTAACGTCTGCGACTTCACGGATCGTAGGTAGGACAGATTTAAGGAAAGGCTCCCGGGGCTGTAGCCCTGGGCTCCCCTCAAAAACTGAAAAATACGTGTGAGAATTTTTATCATGACTTGTGGCAGTGCGTAAAATGGATCAGGCTTGTTTTGGTCTTAAGAGTATGACCTTTTATGCAAAATTAATTTCAACGATATAATTGAAAACCTTTATCAAGAAAATGGGCGGAAAATTCATATAACATAGATCTTAATATTTGTATTACTATGGATATATGGCAATATTTGTATTGGATTACTATACTACTGAACTGTGTTATAGCAAATTTTTAATTTACGTAGTTAAGTAATTAGGCTAGCGACGCCGGCACGCAAGTAGTCACACACGTAGAGTTTTTGAAGGTGCTTGCATGATATGGTGGTTGGGGTAGACCCAACGATGTCAGAACACTAACGCGAACATCCATGCCGAAGGCGGGATTCGAACCCGCAAGGCCCATCCACCCATCTTGCGGCTGCCGCTGTAACCACTCCACTACAGAACCTATATATCGTTCGTTCAAATCTCCAATGTATCGCTAGTAAGGGGTCTATACCTCAAAGTATTGCTGCTTTAGTTGCAGTAAACTTTATTTTCGTTGGAATAATAAAACAAAGGAACTTGCTTCCTGACATATTGAGGTTGATTATTCACTGATTGTAGGAAATTCTATTGTCATTGTTTTGTGCATTTGTATTCTAATTCATCTATTGTAAAATGTTAAACGTGTTCGTTTTTGAGTGAAAATCTCTCTACACTTTTTTCTTTCTTCAGGTAATTCACAGCAAAAAGTTACCATTGTGATGACTCTATTGGCCCAGTCTGCTAAAGACAAGAGCATAGTGTTACTTGACAGAAGCCCTGAAAGTGCCCCAAATATTGCCAACTTACATCCTCGTTACCTGTTAGCAATTACTCAAGGAGTTAAGAGGGCTTTCTTACATGGTCCTAAACTCAGTTGCTCAGTAAGTACTTTTTGACGAATTTACATAGCTTTCATAGTATTTCAGTACTTTTTGGTATATTTATCATTGTTTCAAAAGCATTATCTTCCAGGTAGTGGATACTTGTGTAATGCTACACTGGTGTGAGACTAGCAGAGGAACTACTGAACATATGGTGGGTGCTGCTGCAACTCAATGTGTGCAAAAGGTATGGAGTTTTGGTGATATTCCATTTATTTTCTGTTCTTTACTATGTGTATTTGACTTTTCTATTATTATATTTTACTTCGAAGTAATATATTCTAAATATATATTTAGTGATATGTAGTGTTTAGTCTTTGCTCTACAAATGCACTACATACACTCCGCTTGCTTTTTTAGGTCTTCTCCCCTGCTTTTTTTATTTTTCCAATCACGTATTTCCATTGTATGCAGTCCATAAAGATTAAAAACCTAATCCGTAATAGAAATAGCTTACATTATTATTGAATATGTTACATAACATAAGTACGGAATTATTTAATGCTCTGGTATCTCTTATATAACTTTATTTTTATGTTGAAATGATAGTAAAATTAAATTTGTTCATAATTATTAGAACAGTTAAATTTTTGTGTAAATGGTGCATGTTAAAGCTTAATTATTTTTATTTTAGTTGGTAAACAAAGTAACCAATTAGCAAACCTGTACTTATGTCTTCGTCTGGTTATGAAGTCGATTACGTTCGTATCTATTTGGTTGTCTGGAAAACGCCACGACCTATGCACAGATGCCAATGTTTCGGCCGTCATACAGAGACTTGAGAAATAATGTGTCTGAAACATTTCACACTTGCATGGCAACCGAAATATTGGTATTTGTACCTTTTCAACATGGGACGTGGTGTCTCCCGGAAAACTGGGAAAGTAGGGAATTTTTTTCTCAAATTGTTTAAAATGTTTATTGCCACTTGGTAAGTATTAAATTAGGTGTTTAGAAATGAGTGGTTTGGGTTTGAATGATTTCCATTGTACTTTTTGTGTCCATTGTACTTATTGGAATAACCTATAAGAGGATGCCAAAAAATAAGCTTCTTTGAAGATGACTGTTTCTCTGTTGTTGAGAATGTCTTTGCTCCACTGTTTATAATGTTTCTTATGATCGTTATTTTTTGTGTGAATCAGCAGTGTTGTGAGAATTTAAATATTGTAACTTATTCAAATCACTTCATCAAATTACAGAATGAGATGTCGACTAAATATTTCATATTTAATTTTACCACTTCTAGGGTATTTTAGGAAGTTATTGTTTCAGATGTTGAAGACAGTAGGAACTCGGTTATTGGAACCTCTAATGTCTGTTGAAGTTGTGATTGATAAAGACATGTCATCGGCAGTCTTGTCAGATATATCACGTCGTAGAGGTCTTATACAGAAAATCACACCACGTGAACAACAAATGGTAAGTTTGTTTTTGTTGAGTTTTTTGATTAATACTTCACATAGGATGTTTTAGAAAGTACCTATTTTATTCTAATGAAAATATTGTCATATTTCACTTTATGTGCGTGAATGAAGAAGAAATAATAAATTCGTTAAAGTTTATTCAAGCTTCATTAATATTGCTTTTACTATTATTATTATTATTATTATTATTATTATTATTATTATTATTATTATTAGGCTGCAAATATGCCGTCTTGGACCACGTGGGCATACACCTGCACTTGCCAAGGCTCTGTAACATTTAGGTTTATCCAAAATTATTAATCAAATCTAAATTATAAATGAATTTTTAATCTGATTATTAATCTAAATTATAAATCTATTTATAATATTTGTCCCGTGGCAAGTGTACGTGACTCCTTTTAGGGGGATAAGCATTATGATGAAACCAATTTTTATTTCCCAGTGTTGGCTAGTCACGGGGGGAAGGAAGATAGAATGGCTAGTCCTGCGGGGAAGATGGATAAATGGACGACACGCATGCAAACATACCCATGCCTGAGGCTGGAGTCGACAGACGATCCTTCCGTCCGAGATCGCCACGACACTCCTCCCTTAGCAATTCGGCAATCGGGATCCGGCTGTCCAGATACCGGGACCTTTGGGGCCTGCTTTGCTTGCTAACTCGGGTGGTCAGGATTCAACGTGAAATTATATCAATAAAAATCTCCTCACGATGCGTGCAGTACTCAGAAGAACAGCCTTTTGCATTGATTGAATGTGCCAGTTCTTAAGGCGAAGCCTTGTAGACAATGAAGTCAGTTCTTCATATATCAGTCTATTTGCAGAGATGACAACAGGGGCTACTTAAACAGATACCAACCGCCACATGTCGCTCAGTTCAATATCCAAGGTCTGATATCTTAACTTCTCGGCAATAGAGGCAACAATATTTCGGTCTAAAGGATAGCTATATCGACTATAATCCCTGTCCGTGATACCTTATCGACCCATATTATTGACAGGTCTGTTGTCTTCGACCCTGCGATCAGAGCTTCTGCCGTTGTGATTCCAAACCTAAATCCGCCTTGCGCTTGTTGTATGGGACCTCTTTCTGTATCATCTCCGACTTGGGAGCCAGGGCCTGCTGGACAACCGCAGCAACGTCGTTGTGCCGACTCGAGGTATTCTGTTTTTGCCAAAGCAGAGCACCCGTTCATCATGTATTGGAGGGTTTCGCCGGGTTGATTGCAAAGGCGACAGCGTTCCTCTACTCTCATATCCACAATCACATGTCTTTGGTAATTGCGAGTGAACGTTACTTCGTTCTGAATAGAAATTACGAAGCCTTCTGTCTCGGCAAAGAGGCCAGATTTTGTTAGCCAGGAGACTGACGATCCCATGTTCAAGGCGTTCCCTTTGAGCTCAGAAAGATACCTGCCGTCCAAACGCTTCTGTGTCCACTCACTCAGCCAAACTTGCTTATCATAAACGTGACTCCTTCAGCAAATAACGCCGGAATGATAGTTCGATCGTTGAATGCTGCTTGAAACGCTGCACAATTCTGCGTTTTCCTGACTGAATTGAATATATCTCTGTGTAATAATATGTGAGCACATCTGAGGTATATCACAACAGTTCCCTTCGTCTTCTGCTACCCAGTAAGCTCCATCATCATGGGTCTTAAGGATGCTTCATATATTACTCTAATATTCTTTCATCTCGCAGCTTTTAAGAACTGTTTCAGGCAACTTTCTTTGATAGCTGAATTGCCTGAAAAATTTCTTCGCATGAACACAACGGTCGCATGAACACAAAGCATTGTCTTCGTTTCATTGCTTTATGATATATTCTGATACGGCACCTAACGGCTGCGACGCACTTTTTAACATACTGAAGTCGATCTCGGAGCCTCTCATCGCAATTCGGCTGGATTCTTCGAATTCTCATCTTTCGTCCAATCGTCTTCACTGCATTAGAGACCTTTCTAGTTACATTGTCAGGAGATCTAAAGAAGGCTGTCAGAGTGCCTATGGCCCGCCGGAAGCTTTCAATCTTGCATTCAATACACCTCAACCATGGGAGCTTGGTGGACTTAGCGGACTGTACTGTCTCTTTCGATGTTTTCAATTTATCCTTTACAAGTTTACTAAGACCCTGTACAACAGCAGAGGATGCGCAATACGCATAACTTGCCTCTTACTCAAGCGCTATCGATTGTTCTACAATCCACCTTTAGCGAGTTATTGACAGCTTCCATCGTCGGATTTGTATTTGGGCCAAATCTCGCTCGTGTGATCTATGGTCTGGAGGATAATGGAGTGCAATGATAGTATGTCTTCACGGCTTCATAATGCGCAGTCCAAGAATATTGCTCAGGCACTGGGAGGCAGGATTCATCAGAATTCGTCTTCACAGACCATTCCTGATTAGCTTGTGGGTCACTATTTCTTCCTTAATGTCTCATTCCTATTCTCATTACCCAAGGATGTTATTACATTATCCCTAATGGTACTTCTCTGCAACCGACAGAAAGTTCCTTACAATGATGGTGCGCGGCTGGTCGCACACTCTCTGCTTGGATACCAGTATATTCGGATGCAGCTTTAAGAATTTTTCGTGAAATCGCGTCCTGAATCCCTACATGTCCGCTTCAAGTCTGGTAGCCAAAACGTACGCATGCATAATGGAAATATTCAACTCCTTAGTCCATTTCATGCGCGGGCGTTCTGAGGTCTGGCGGGGTGTGGCTTCAATCACACCCAAGCCGCTACCCCCAGTACTAATGATTAAATATTAGTATTGTGCTCGTCGTACGTAGTGCAGCGCCACACCTTCCCGGATGGTATTAGGAGGGTCCAGTGCTCTCGATTGGGACAGGTAGCACATTCCTCACTGCGAGCCCAGTGCCAGAACACACAGCGCCGCCTTGCATGTGCGGATCACATGCGTCACGAATCCTTGGACTTCGTCTCATAACTACTACTCCACCGGCGGACCGGGTAAGAGTCGAGAGTGGAAGCACCTCTCGTCTCTGAGCCAGCCCCATCTGCGCACCATCACTCAACCTCTAAGGTCGTAGCTCAGGCACCTACAGCCCGCAAAAATATAGGGATGGCTATTTCGGATGCTGCCCCCTTCTCCCAGTTGCCAGTTGGTTCACCGATTCTTTTCCCGGAGGCCAGGGGCACAGGTCACCTCCCAACTTCCAGAAGAACAGACAGGCATCCAATTTGGCGGGTTGCCATTGCCTTGATAGCCGACACGACAGCCTTTGCCCGTCCCCCACGGGGAGTAGCTGTTCTTTCAATCCACGTGGGGTTGGTCTTCAGGGAACGTAAAACAAAGGGGGAAAACAATCGGGAAAACGGGTAAGGGACAGTTAAGGTAACATTTTTAGCAAGGAAATAGCAAAAGAATGAAAGATGGATCAATTTTAGATGGAGGGACAGCGGGCAGGTGCTCCTGTTAGTCGCCTTTTACGAAAGGAGGAGATCCCCTGGCGCTATTCTACAAAAACACCTGGGCCCACACGGGTATTATTATTATTATTATTATTATTATTATTATTATTATTATTATTATTATTATCATTATTATTATTATTATTCATTACTTATCAATTAAAGAAGTTATGAGTCGATTGAATATAAAATCAACTCCAGGTTGCAACCAGCTTCCTAAGGAGCAGATCTAGGGGCTGTCGGTCCCTCTACAATACTTGAAACAAATTGTGGGCTGTTCCAACTTAAGCCATGACTGACCAATTATAATAGATCACGATCCAGAGCTAGATGGACCACACGGGAAAGTAAGGCCGCGTCCTGGAGAGCTTATACTTCATTCTCTTGCCGTACGCCTCCTAAAGTAGCCAGGCGAAAGGTTCGACAGATCTGTGGAAGACTTCCTTCGCCGTCTGTCTCGGGGCTTCTGGTAAATGGAAATCTTCTCACCTTACCAGAAGATATAGTTAAAGACGTGGTCTCTCACTACGAGCTTATCCCGTACACTACTCTTAGCACATGTACCACAGCTCCTTACACTACTCTCTTAGCTTTCTGAAGACCAAAAGAAGAGGATTGGAGAACTACAGACTAGATTCCTCGAGTCGCGTGGCGGAAGATAACAATGCTCCTTTTTCCATGGATGAATTTTCCTGTGCCCTCGCCTTGCCCAAAAGATTCTTCTCCGGGACCAAACCAGATACATACTCGAATACTTAAACACCTACCGGAAAATGCTTGTTCATTTCTCCTCCGCATTTTCAGTCTGATTTGGAATGAACATTCCTTACCAAGGATTGGCGTGAAGCTATTGTTATTCCAATGACTAAGGAATGAAAGAACAGAACAATCCTTCAAGTTACCGCCTAATCTCTCTCACAAGCTGTGTGTGCAAGCATTTAGAGTGAATGGTAAACGAACGTCTGGTCTAGCTCACAGGGCAACTATGGACCACTTAGGGCCTGTTTCACCGGCGCCTGATAAAGTGTCTGATAGCCTAGCCAGAAGTTATTTTACTGATATATTGAAATTTTGTGTTTTACGAGTGCCTGATAATTCTATCCAGTGGTTAAAGTATTCCGTAAATAATCTGGAGGTTGGAGAGGCTGTTAAATGTTTATCTGGTAGATAACTCCAAAATAACAGAATTTTCGTGTGAACATGCTGTGATTTTCAAGGAATTACTGTGGTATTTCCGTGATGGACAACTTGATATAGAGGATAGACGACGAATTCTTTGATAGTTTAGAACGTCCGCCCTGACGACATGTCGGCCAGAATATTTTGAGATCATTGACAAACAAGATTGCAAATTCCGTTTTAGGATAAGGAAGCCTACGGTTAGCAAAGCTATGTCTGTGATAGAACAGAAAAGAGAATATTTGTGAATATCGACTTATATTTCTTTAATATCCTGGCAATATAATGGTCCTGTTAAATTTTATTTCAAAATAATAAAATTATACTTCCTGTTTTGTTAGCAATTCTGAGGTATCAGCAATGAAATGACTTCTGACTCTGTATTATTTTGGGACGGGATCATTTTTTATCATTATTTGAGTCTTCATTGAGGTGAACAATCTACTGCTACAAGTGTAGTGAGTTCGTGAAGCTAAAAACTTTTAACAGTTATAAGGTTTTCTTTATCTCTTTTCAGAGCTTCATATTTTTATTAAAGATGTTTCCCTTCCCAAAAAGCATCCCCCTCCAAGCTATTGAAAACTTTTCAATAGCCATCCAATCCAATCCCTATCCTACCATATGATAGCACCATTTACTTTACATTTAATAATATTTTTCCTCTCCGCAACGAGGGATACGAGTTTGTTTCCTTAAGTGTAGAATTAACTCTTTCTCGCTTCTTTCTCCTTTGCATTTTGAACCTCCTACACATACACACACACAATACGACACAATAAAACAAACTTTTACACCGAACTCGCACACAGTTCACGCCGAAGTAAACTGCAACACAAAATAACAACGAATGAAGCGAAAAACGCTTCACACTTCCAATACCAAAACACATTCGAATTTGCGCGCGCAGAGCACGTTTGACTCGAAAATGCGGCGTTGCCGCTGGTGAAGGAGCAATCAGCCAGATTATTTATCAGAAAGATATGTCAGATATTTTAACAAGAAAGACCTTGGTGAAACGCAAAATAAATATCAGGCACTTTGATCTGACGGATAAAATATTACAACTAGAACTATATAAAAAATATATAGTATTCGGAACTTTATCAGGCACCAGTGAAATAGGCCCTTAGTCTTCCTTGCCTCTCAGATCTCCACTTCTTTCGTGTTACAACACTTGGTAGCAATTTTTTTCGACGTAGAGAAAGTGAATGACCATCTGGAGGTACGGCTTTCTTCGCACCTTGCATTCTTGGGGCCTTAGGGGACGGCTCCCTTCCTTACTAGTAGATTTTCTGTCATCAAATTCTTTCGGCGTCCGCTTTGGTGACGTTATCCTCAAGTGACCAGATAGAAAAGGGTGTTCCCCAGGGATCAATTGAGGGTCACTGTTTGGCATTGCTGTCAATAGTATCACATCAGTAATCCGAGAGCCTGTGAAAGAATCGCTCTTCGTTGATGACTTTGCCATATTCTGCTCCACGAAAAAATGAGAGTTATTGAAATCTCGATATGAAAAGTGAAACTAGTTACACAAAAATACACTTTCGTGGATCTATTATTTTATTAACTTTTGTAAAATGTATATTAATGAATGAATATTAATTTCAACTATTACTCTACAATTTTAACTCCTCATTTCTAACATTCTCATTTTAATGATAAATAGATTGAGTGCATTTCACTTCCACGCGACGCGAACCCGGATGCCGCTGTCCTCCTTGTGGCGGATGTTTGATTGGGAAAGTTAATTCATTGCAACTCTATTTATGCAATAAATAAATAATAATATGGGGTGTAGATGCAACCTGCAATAGAGAACTACTGTCATGCATAATTCAAATACAATATGTTGTAGAGCCTTAAAACCAGGTTTTTGTGTCCCATAGGGACACTGATTTTGTTTCTGTATGCCCTGAACCAGATAATGAGATTTTTTTTGGTATTTTTATTCCAAGCTTAGTGTTTAAGAGAATGATACCTTACTCTATATTTGCATTTGTGTAAATGAAAAGCATATTGTTAACGGTATTTGACTTCCCAAAAACTTTGCTCTTTTTGCAGTTGAGATAATGAGATAAGTTTCTCGTGCATTTCCCACCCATGTGGGTGAGAGAGAATCCAAATGAACCATCTTTTGATGTGTCACTGATGTTAATTCAAAATAATATGCTAAAATAAATAAAAAAATCAGTTATTGTATTGAAGTTGATATGGCTCAAAATACTTTTTAAAAATATTTAAATTAATATTTAAGAATTGAATATAGATTTAAAAATTATAGTATTTCAGTGTGCTTTACATGCAAAAACTTTATGGACATTTAATATGTAAAATTTTCACTTGGGTTCAGCTAGTATTTGTAATTACATCATAGCAGTCATATCAATCAGGTGTCAATACCAACAGCTCTCTACATGAAACAGTTTCTGCACAATTAGACTCTGTCTGTCAAAAAGGAAAAATAGTATTTATTCTAGCAATGATGTTAATTCATTAGTTAACATTTGTACTGTATAATTTTATAAAGACTAATTTCCTGTAAGACTAAGTAATGTATTTCAGCTTATGGTTCAGGGACACATACATTAATCAGCTTTTTTGTTCAGGTTTCCTGATCCATTGGGCACATGCTGAGATCACCCCCTTGGTTTCCTTATGGACATACATTTAGTTTAACTATGCACACATTTTGTTGAGATCTCGTTTTGCAAGTTGTGGTAGGAGTAGAGCTTGTGGTGTATGTTGCTATTTTGTTAGCAATACTAAAAAATAAAATCTATAGTTATTGCCAATGCAAAAAACTTTTGTAGGACATGTGAGCAAAGACTTCTAATTTACAAATGTAGTTAACTTGGATTTATTGGTACTTTTATTCATCGTACTATTATGTGTAGAAAAAGGGTAGAAAAGGGATTCTGAAGCTCTAGAAAACTACTTC